TATAAAAATTATGCTCAACTATATTACAAGGGTTAGTAGTGGTTCATACTAGAACAGTTGATGATATTTTGCTTTTCCACTTGCTTTAAGTAAGAAGAACACAGTCTATATTACATAATCGTACTACGTTTTTCTCTGCATTGTGGATTAGTGCCCGTGCTGTTATCTACATGCTGGAACTTAAAATTTTGACGCTTTCAACAGTGAAAAGTAGGGCACGTATTTTGATACGTACACGTGCACTGTAGGTATTATACTTAATAACCGTGTCTTTCAGTTAGTCCTGTTTTGCATTTTAGGTGCAGAATAATTTCATATCAACTTACGACGGCATTTCCTTGTAACAATAAGTTAAGAAGCAAACAAAATATTTTGGCGATAAGTTAGAACGTTTAAAAGGGCCGACCCATTTTTCTCACGAGGTTTCAGTTTTCGGTTCTGAAAGGCAACATATCCTACCATTTTATAAAGCTTTTTCTAAGACATTAATCACTCAGCAGGTCATGAAATTATTCAGTAAGAGTTCAATCTTTCATTATTTAGCTATTACTGAAAAGAAAATTAATTAATTTAAGGGATCATCAGTTATTTGACTAGCACGTGGCAACACTATAGTTAAACACGTTGTCATTTGTAGAGACAGAAAATAAAGATAGTTTAACGTACTTAATTAAGTGAAGAAGTGTTTAATATTTTATGGCTTAAAGAAACTTTTAAAAACTGCGTTTAAGACAAAAAAAATCTTATTATTATTATTATGTGTCATAAACTATAAACTAATCATAAATTACTCCATCGTTTTATACTTAACATTTATGTAAAAAATACAATAATCATTACATTATATCTATTTATATCTTTCGAACAGCTGAGTTTTCATGTCAGCTCTTACTCTTAACCTTTTCACTGCTCCGCGCATCATATGATGTTTTCTAGTTATCTGGAATTCATCCTCTGTATAAGATTTTTAGGTCCGATTTTGTTGGACTTAAGAGGTTTAGGTACACCTTCGACCTCCTCCTCCTCCCTCTTAACAGTAGATTTTTACTCTTTTACTATCGTTATTTTATTGCTGTATTAGATGTTTGATGTTTCACGTTTAATTTATCTTCCTTCTAAGACGAATTTTGGGACGTTTTTCTGATTAAAACTTCTGCTTCTTAGTGTTGTAGTTTGGTCTAGTTTACACTACAAGATGTCTCCACGGTCTCCGTGCTAATGATGTTGTGTCCAAGTTGCTGAAGTTTTATTTAATCCACATAGAATGTTTCCGATGATACTTCCCACACTTACATAATGCTAGATTTATTTACTTAGTATCTGTAAATATAATTACTCATTAACCTTTTAAAACCTTGTTCCTATTATGGGCTAATATCATCAATGTTACATAATAACACAAATCGCTGATGTGGGTTTACACAAAGTCCTGCGTTCACACTATAGTCTATTGCACTAATAATGTAATACACACAAATAAATTTATTTTAGTACACATGAAATAAACTATTTTTAAAATATAATTATAGATGTATTGGAAATATTCTGTAATGCGTAGCACTAAGTGGTCGTTTTAATAATATTATTTATTTTATGTAATGGCGAGAGGTACATCTGATTTTGTCCATCATGTATGATATACCTCTCCAAGTTGATTATCAGGTCGTTTTTTATTTCTAGTTAACTGCACGTTCGACACCGGGTTTTACGATCTTTGAGGACCTGGGAGGGTCAGGTACATTTTCGACCTCTTCCTCCTCTAGTTAACTGCTCTGCTTATCAGACGATGTTTTCGTTTTTCCGCCACCGTTTGAAATCCCAGCGGATATTTAGTTGTACCGGTGACCCATAGATGCCGCCCTCGACGCTTATACATAGTGGTTAAAAATGTATATAGTCTAAATACTTGGCATTTATACAGTAGTTGTAGTGACTTATATTAGTGTGCTAAGTGTAATACTTGTACAATATAATCATGTTATTCACGACCAACGCTGTGCCAGTGCGTGAGATAAGAGGGTAGTGCGTTACCACACATCGAAAAACAAACAAATCCTACTCACCTTCCTGTCTGATCTCGTCTCCCCGCTTCCCCTCACTCGGTACACCTCCAGGCTTACATAGATGTCATTATTATACTTTTTTGGTATTTATTCTTTATTTTTGAATGCTATACTATCATTTTATAAGAAAAAAAATATTTTTTTCTATGCATGTGCTAAACTGTGAAATTTTCTAACGTATCAACTACTGTTCCATTTTTTAAGCAAAAAATAATCTTCATGAATAATAACAATGAAGTCCTTTAAGTATTTTTAATGTCTTGTCTCGTTGTCTGTGGCCATTATAGGCAACCAATATTGAAGAAAAAAATAAACAAAGTTTAAACTGGTGACGTGAGACATCAATTCTGAGGAAGTTCCTTGTTGGTGAATTCAATAAACTTTAAAGTCTCAGTGAAAACATTGTTTGTTTGTTATGGGCTATCTGCGCTAGCCGTCCCTAATTTAGCAGTGTAAGACTAGAGGGAAGGCAGCTAAATTGCGAGTCGAGCACCCCTAACCACCAGGCTATGCCGGGCCCTCAGTGAAAAAATTATGTATTATTGTAATAATTTTAATTTTGCATCACGTAATTGCATATAATCGAATACCACATTAACTAGCTAAATGTAAAGCAAGAATCGAATATAAGTTACTGGTTTGTATATTGATTTTGGTTAAACACCATGGTTGTCGCAGTTAAAATAACCAATAAAAGTATACCCTTCCATAACTAGTTTAGAATATATCTGTACTGAAGTACATTCAAGATATTTTTCTATTCTTCCGTGCTATCTCAGGCACGATGAGTTGATCATAGTTTAAAATGTAGTGACGTAGCTAGTTCATTGTTGACTGCTTCCTTTTTTCTTAAAGCCCATTCACCTTTCACTGAGTCTCTTATTCTGAAGTGTTCACTGGTCTGTTTTGCCTTGATCAACTTATCCCCAAGTCAGCCTAAGAGTAATCTTGAAACCAAACAAACGGATACGAATTTTTTTCCTGTTTAAAGACAAAATAAAATAAATATATCTCCTTAAAAAAAATCGCTGGTAGTATACAAATATTTGTTTCCTTGCTGCGGGCAAGTCTGTATTGGGTCAACGACTCGGACCATTGCTACCAGAATCAAGGAGCATGCGCATAACACCCCTTTCAATAACTCCGGAATTTACAATCACCTAAGCAAAGACTGTAACGAAAAACCGAACAGTGAACACTTCAGAATAATAGACTCAGGGAAAGATGAATGAACGCTACTTAAAAAGGAAGCACTCCTAATTATTAACCTACAACCTAAGCTGAACAATCAACTAGTTACGTCATTGCATGTCAAACTATGATCAACTCATCGTGCCTGAGGTGGGCAAAAAGTGAAAACTTCATCCAACAAACAAGTGTCAATATCTACTGAAATAAAAAACAAGACAAAAAACTCTTCCTTGCTAGTGTTAACCGGATGTCGAAAGGTCATAAACATTTACTAATTGCTTTGCTTAGGTAAAGGTTACATATGAAAATTGCTTTCTTATAGAAACCTATATTAATCCCATGTCAACCCATCTTAAAAGGTGATTCAGATACTTGTACAAGTTATTATTTCAACACTTTTGCATATCTATATAAATATAATTGTACTGTCTGCTGTCTGTCCATGTAATTACTTCATAGGGTGATGATGGATCTTCACTAAAGTTGGTATGGAGGTTTATTAGGTCAATACGGAGGTACATACACATTTTCAGTTTTGCGTTTTGCGATTTTTATGGGTGTTTATGTGTTTTCTATTATTACCTCATCTCCTGTGGTTGAATCTTCACCAAATTTGGCGTGATGGTTTGCTGGGTCCATGGGGAGATACATACAAATTTTCAGTTTCACATTTTGTGTTTTGCGGTTTTTATGGTCGTTTTGGTGTTTTTTACAATTACATATAAAGGAAGCAACTTTTCATAACCTAAGATAACCTTTCATTATCATGAATGTACATAACTTTCGTCTAGGGAACGAGTATTCCAGCTTGTAATTATAAATTCGGAAAGCAGTGAAGTTATCGAATTACATTATAAAATAGTTCTGATTTTGATTTTCTGTATTATTTCAAAGATCGCCGACGAAAATTAATAAAACTTAAACAACAAATGGAAATGTTGATTATTTTACTGAATCCCTCTTCAGGAACTTTTAAAAAGGTCGTGCTAAATAGATAATTCTTAATTTTCATTAGTTACCTTTCCCCCATCGTCTGTGTCCCAGTTCTTTCAACAAATACGTTATTATTGCACTGCTTGTTGTTGATTTTAGCACAAAACTATATAATGGGTTGTCTGTACTCTATCCACTACGAGGTACAGAGCCCCAGATTCATCGTCGTAATTCCGTAAACACATTGCTGACCTATTGAGGGGGGGAGTATCGCTTTGGAAAATAAAAAGTGTAATGAAAAGTTTTTGACTAAGTTCTAAATACGTTTTAGATTAAAATTTATACTTAATATAGGCCTGGCACGCCCTAGTGATTTATGTCCTCGGATTGTAAATCTTTTTAAGATTCATGAATCTAGGACTATTGCCACAAAAACGCACTCCGCATTTTGATGCTCTGGGTAAGCTATAAGATTGACAATCAAATCCCACTATTCGGTCAGAATCGGCATACCTCTGTTTGAGTACCGTAATATCAACAGTAATTAGTGAATAGATTATGACTGAATAATGATCACTATAATTCTAGAGAGCACGATGTTAAGAACCAAGAAGAAAAGTTTTATTCCAAAAGAAGTTGTAGACCAACCAACTATTAAGAGACAAACATAAATGTTATTTTGATAGAAAGTGAAGTAATGTTTTTGCCTAGATTTACAAACGTAGCTTTTCTTAACTACTTTTCTTGTTTATCACTAAATGTATATAAACTCAAAATTTCAATGATTTTATTTTAATTTTCTATGCTCTTTAGTATTGAACATAGCAGCAGGAAAAGCTCCCATGCAATCTTCTGTAGCAGATAAAGGAAATCCACAAAAAGCTGTAGATGGCAGCACCAGCGCATTATTTAATTCTGACACATGTACAATGACGAAAGCAGAAACTGGTAAGGCCGCCTGGTGGTATGTCAACCTGTTAGAGCCTTTCATAATTCAATTAGTTCGAGTGGATTTTGGGACATCGTGTTGCTGTAAGTAGATTCTACTAACAACAACAAAAAATAATAATAAATTACTTTGGTTACGCTAAACGTGTTCCATATAATTGTTTTTGAATAATATATATATATATATATATGTGTGTGTGTGTTAGTGCTACTAAATAAATACAAATTACCACGAAAGCAAAATTATACTATTTTTAACGTAAATAAACGGAAAACATGATCGTTGTATTTACTATTTTAACGATGAAATTGCAAATTCTGCTTCAATAATTTTTTATATCAATATTAATTGGGAAAATTAAGAAACTATCACAGCAGAAATGCATTCAAAATAGTAATAATAATTGAACCTTAAAATTAAGTTGCTCTTTCCTTTGCACGTGTATTATAGTAATAGGTACTTGATTTAGTTTGATAATATAAAAAAAAGGAAGAAAAAGTGATATATAAACTTACTAATCTAATAAAAGGTATTTTTTAGTTGTAGTCATGCGTCAAAAATATTGTTGCAGCATTGTCCATTTATTGAGGAAGTTGTTTTAAATTATTTGTATAAAATAATTCGAAGCCCAATCCTCGTAACGATAAGTGGTAATAACTTGCTAAATATATTACGTCTAATGTAAAAATTAATTTACGATTAAAATTTCATCGCTGGTGAATGAGTAATTGAATATAAGCGATAGCCATCAGTGATCCAAATGCTTCGCTGAAACTGCACGTTGAGAAACAACTGATTATTCAATATTCATTGGTTATTTACCACTCCTGAACTAACTGTCCATTCGTATTTAAACATGTAGCCTTGTTTTTAGACATTTTGCAAATTTCGATCTATAATGTACCCGAATATTCTATATTTTCTCGGACTTGCTTGATCGAAACGTGATGCGCCCTCTAGCTAATGTCTAAATTAAAGCATTGAAAATATAGCTTACAATAATATGCACAATCTCATGATACAATAATATAGATTGCATGCAAGCTTTCATAATTGAGTGCTAAGGATTCTCTCAGTTCTGTGTTAATGTAGTTTGGTAAATAATAAAACGCACATTTTTTATTTTTCGTGACCAATGATATAAATGTACACGTGAAAGGCAAGTGATGATAATTGCGTATATTCAAAAATGGATGGTGTTATAGTGACAAAGACACAAGTTGTGTTAGCATGTAAGACACAATTTTTATGCATTATTCCTTGTAGTTTGAATGTTAAGATGTGTACAACGAAAAAGCAAAAGCGTCTGCACCAAATTCATTCAAGCAACAACAAAACACAGTTCTCTGCTAACACAAAAAATGCAATTGTTTCTGAGTAACTTGACGATGCTGATTCTAAAAATCATGTTGAAAATTATTGATCACTTCTAGTTTTCGAGTTATGATAGATTTATCTAAATATTCTTATATATATCGTGAAAATAACAATTTTGTCTTTAATAGGTTTATTTATTCATTGAAAATTGCATTTAAGAATGTTTAAAAACAATACATAATAGCAATACCAGTTTGAAAAAGCAATGTTCAAAATATCTGTTGGACTTGTTATGCCTTTTGAGTATGTTCTCAGTATCACGCTGTAAGAACCAACAGTAATCTCTCATTATCGCAGGATTCCATCATCCTTGATATCGCTGTTTCATTGTAGATCTTGGTGGAAGCACTCACCAATCTCATTGCTCACTGCATCTAGATCATTTTGAAAAAAGTCTAAATGGGAATGTAAGATGTGCATCTTTAGTGACATCTTAGACCCAATTTTCCTATAGTTCTCGAGCATATCATCAATCCTCACAGTATATTTTTCATCTTTGTGATTCCCCGAAATTGTTTACAACCAGTTTGAATGATTTCGAGGCACCAAGTTCTTTCTCATTGAGTACTGTTTCAAAAATTATCATACATCAGCACTTCCCGAATCTGTGGCCCAACAAAGATACCCCCTTTCATTTTTGCTTCACTGATTTTTGGAAACTTGTCAAACAAACAAGATGGTGAATATCATCCATCCTTTCAGATAACACTTTCACGAACTCTGACACATTTTCAGGCAACTCTTCGTTAGGCGGACGTCCTATTATCAGGTCTACTGGCAACCGAAGTTCCCGACCAAACATCAGCTTTGA